CAGGCTCAGTGTGAGCCGCGATCTGCCGAGGCCGACTGGGGTTCAAGAAGAAAGTAGCAGAGATACCAATAGCAACTGCAAAAGGTGGCCCCGCAGAGGAAACACACAGCCAGGAAGACGAGCTCAGAGCCAACTCCGATGTCAGAGGATTAAGAGAGCACAAATACTGCCAGACACAATCAGAGAAACAGGACTACATTGAAAAAACAGGCTGATCTCCAACCTCTACAAACAAAGGTGTTGATGGCAGCAGCACAGCTGATATTTCTCTCCAGGATGGTGTCACAGCCAAATAGGAACAGACGAGGCGAAGCTACTATGAGAAAAAGCAGAAAGAGCATAGCATTAGAGATTGAACTAGCAGGTTCTGCAGAGTGGGAGAATAGAGATAGAATGAAGCAGAATAATGAAATTGGGGTCCCTATGTCCTCCAGAAGTCTAAGCATATAGCAGCATAACTATAGAGATAGCTCAGGATAACTTGAGCCACTCTAAATATAAGCTTTATCAAAAAGAAAAGTTTTATGCCTAGCCTTAAAAGTAGACAGGGTGTCTGCCTTACGGACTAAAACTGGTAGTTGGTTCCACAGGAGAGAAGTCTGTCTTGGTTCTGTTGGTTTCAGAGTATTCAGTTTTACTCTGCTCCATGTTTTCTAGTTTTATTGGTTTAATTCGTATTTTGTTGTTTTTTCTGGATATATTTGAGTTCTTAGGTTTTTATTTGTTGCCCTCTGTTTACCTCTTGTGTTGGTCTTCTTTTCCCCTGCTCCTTTCTAATCTCCTTTCTTCACACCTGCTCCCGATCTGCTCGTTAGTCCTCTCTTTGTTCAGTCTACCATAAATACCCTCCTTGTGCTCGTCAGTGCTGGTTCTTCATCTTACTTCGTCTTACCTCGTCTCTCCTCGCCTTTCCCTGACTCCACATGCTTGTTTCCCCTGATGTCTCCATGGTTCTGGTTTGTTTTTTCATGTTGGATTTTTGGATTCCTGCCTCAGTTGTTTGTGAACATTTAATTAAATCTTCAAGAAACTCACCTCTGCCTCCCTGCCTCTGCATTTGGGTCCTTTTAACCTCAACCAAACCCTGACAGAAGGAACCAGCCAACATGGACCCAGCAGAGCCACCTAACTTTGGCTGCAGCATTTTGGATCAGCTGAATGCTTTCAACTACAGTTTGTGGACTTCCTGATAGTAAAGAATTAGAATAGTCCAGCCCTGAAGTAACAAATGCATGGACTAGTTTCTCAGCATCACCACAGAGAGTTCAGGCAGAACATTCAGATGGGAACAGGCAAGCTCCGTGGTTGAGAGGCAAAACATGGCAGGATATCAGGAGCATACCGGTACGCAAAAACCTGCTCTCTCCACTGAGCCAAGACAGGAACAGAGCACACTCAGTGGATAAGAGACAGAACATGGTCAGGAAAACAGGAACACTACAAAACACTAAAAACCTCTCTCACCACTGTCCTCTGAGAATGAAATCATGATGATTACATGTTGATCACATCAATAATCTCAAACTCAAAGATCTGGACCCGATAGCTGGGACTGGGCCGTATATAAGAAGCAGGAACAGGTGAATTAGATGAGTGATAATTGGAAACCAGGCAGAGTTAGGCACATGAGTGAAATTAGCAATTAGGCCATCTGTCTGAGCCATGATCATGACACTATGTGCCTGTATGATCTCGCTACAATTCCTGGGCATGCTCCTGATGAGCTGGCATATGGTCTTCTAGACCTGGACTAAAGCATTCACCAACTCCTGGACAGTTTGTGTTGCAACGTGACGTTTGTGGATAAATCAGGACATAATGTCCAAGATGTGCTCTATTGTATTCAGGTCTGGGGAATGGAAAAGCCACCCCACACCATTACTGACCCATTGGAGGTAATTCGCAATTTTTGCAGTACTTTGCAGTAAGTGTAGTGATCAAGTATTGTATGTATGACATAAAATATGCCTTAGGTTTATTTTTTCTTTATAGTAAATTAACTGTCCTTTGTTACTTTTTAGTGCTGTCTCATAAAAGAGACTTCCTTAACACTTCAACTAAGACAGCAATGATTTTTTTTTTGACAGGTGCATATTCTGATATAAATAAAATAAAAAAATCCAGACCATAATTAACATCTTAAACCCCGTCTGAAGAGAGCACATTTGAGATACCCTCCTTAACGCCGAGGGAAATAGCTGTGCTTCACTGCTTATTAACCAACCAACAGAGTGAGGCAGAAAATTAGGTGGTGCTGTTTTCCTCTTCAAAACTGGGTTAAACAAGGGGGTCACTGCTTTGTGCAAGAAGTGCACATCTTGCAACCGTTTGCTGTTTTCTCTCTGCTTTTGAAAATTAGCTTAGGCAGTAACATAACAAGCGAGCTCAAACGTAAGTAATTTAAAGGTTTGAAAAATAAGAACTAATGACTTCTGCAGCTTAGCTGAAGCATTAAAGGTACGATGCCTACTGCAATCATAGGCATGAATACCACAAGAGCACAAATCTACACAAAAAAATACACTCAAACACAGTGAAGGAAGTAATACCTTTAGGGGGTTGCTATTAAGACGGGTAATCCATGGGCCTCAGGAGGAGCAGGATAATATATTCCAAAAGGAAGCTTTCCGCAACAAGCATCTCGGATGAAGAGCATGAATAAATTATAGTCGTAATTAAAGAAATGTCAAACAGCGGCTGTATAGAACATTATCAATTATGTTGTGTCTATGTTAGAGAATCCTGGGCTTGAATCAAGAATGGTGATCAATTTAAGTTAAATGTATTTTCTATTTAGAGGGGCTACTGCACCTAATACAGTTAAGCTTCACTGTGGATATTGACCTGTATCTCTGTGTATTTGGCAGAAAGAGCAGCATGATTTGCAGAAGACAGTTTTGGTGCTTGTGGTCGTAGAAAACTTGGAGCTAAAAAAAACAGGCTTGAAAACAGACACATGAAGTGTTAAGAGGATAATTTGTCTTGAAGTTCAAGCAAGTGGAACCTGAAACGGCGGAGGAAAAATGCAACTGAAATGAAAATCAATTTATAGTCTTAGGAAATATGCAGTTTTACTATGAACTGAAGCCATCTGTGCATGATGATCAACAGTGCAAAGTATCTGTATTTAGTCCTTCAGCCGTTGTGGTTGCTCAGATTGCTTTGTTTGGCTTTTGTTATGATTTATTGTCTATATTTTGTTAAAATGTTCATATCATGAGTGCGGCTCATACCTTCTCTTCACAAATGGTTTTGGTATGGGGAATTTAGAACCCAGAATTCTAGACAATCATAGAGTTAAAACCAGAAACTTACTTACACAGCATAAAAACATCCGTGTCGTACATTGAATTGAGCAGCATTAGAATTACAGTAGATTGCTAGTTAAAGCAGAGTGGGCCTCTATAAGTCTATACATTTAGCAATGCCATAAGTGTACAGTATGTATCTGTCCCAGTTATGCAATTGGGACAGATATTATGGCAATTATGGACAAGTGGAAATACTGTGGGTAGACAATGAAACACTTAAGTATGGGGACAGATTCAGGTTTCTCACTGTTTTTAATAAAAATGTTCATATCAAAAAGGACAATGTAAAGATGCTTGCTGAAACTGGCACAAGAGTGTCATTATCCACAATGAAACAAGTCTTATCCCAACACTGACTGAAAGGCCATGCATTGAGGAAAAAGCCATTCTTCTAAAAGAAAAAAGTGATTACTGTTTTACATGTTTGATGGTCTTACACAAACTTTACTTAGTAATACTGACCATGGTTGGATTCTGGATGCTTGCAAACTGAGATAGCTATCTAAGCTGTGAAGGAACATGACAACACGTGAAAGCATCATGCAGTGTTAGTATTTTACAACAGGAGGGAAAGGTGCACTTCCCAAAAATACTTTACAACCGGAGGACAGAACTGGTTTTATTTTTCTGCGATATACTAATAAAGTACAGTCATAGTTTTTATTGTACTTTCCCAAAAAGAAACATTCCAACTGTATTTTTGTTTATTCAATGTCTTTAAATGGGGCTAGCTTTTTTGTAATCTTTTAGAGTTGCATATGTCTGTAGTTTTACAGGCTTTGTGAAGTGTCTGTTCCCTTTCACTACTTTAGTCTTGATTTTGAGTCATTACTGCTGACCATGACAGCATGTTCTGCTTTGAATAGTATTTCAAATTATGAAAATGGATAATTGGGCGGTTAAAGAATGGACGAGGTATAAAAATACTCAACTACCTACAGTACTTACATGAACATCAAATAGTGTGGGTTGGCCAAGATTTCTAAGAGAAAATAAATAAATTTACAAGATTTCTCTCACAAACCAGCACAGAAACTAACTATAGTACAGCACAAGATGCATTGATCAGAATACATAACAGGAAGATCTGACAATCAGAGGATAAAATCCATGAGGATACATATATTATGAAATGATGTAGAACAGCTGATCTGATTACCAGATAACTAACAGGTCCGAGGACAGCAGGAAACTGAGGCACCAAGAGAAGGCACCTGAGGGAATAAATGACCAAATCAAAATAGGAAGGACACCCCAGACACAAGTCCTGTCTTTAAAAACAGCTTAAAATGTTATCAAAGATCTGACTCAGTACCTGAAAGATGCATCATCCTTAATGTTTACAAAGTATGCAGCAAAGAGTTTTCTAAAATGACTTTATCAATGCTTAAACACAAATGTATTTTTTTGTTTTGCAGTCCAGTATTAAATAGTTCCACCATCCAAGGTTTCATTGGATTTTTCTAACATTATATCAATGTGTTGTCGTTGTGTAAAATCTACAAGGATTAATTGCTGTGTTGTCTGTAATATGTACACAGAATAGTGGTTACCCTTTGAGATAAGGAGCCTTTTTAACCTTTAATGATTTATGGGATAGATTTATTGGAGACGAGACAACTGTTGGTCACGATTGTTTCATTATGTTCTGTCTCACTATAGACTATACATAATGGACGATTAAAGCAGTTTTGCTTACTTAAACTTTATTGGCGTGCCGACATCTACACTCTGCAGTAGCCACGTTATCCGAACATTCCCGTCTGCTGTGCAACCTCTAAATCCGTCCCCCGTGCAACAGTGCTTAATAAACAATCCTATTGTTACATCTTTCTTTTTCTTTTTTCACGTTATTCTCTTATTTGATCTATCAACATAAGCAATAATCACTCAACAAGCGTAAAACATCTGTTTTCCCCCAAGTGTAACAACATTTGCAACCGATCTAACAACATAAGCGATAGTAACTCAACATGTGTAAAACATCTGTTTTCCCACAAGTGTAACAAGTTTATAAAACAACACATTACAAGTGTAACAAGTGTATAAAACAACACATTTCCATTTCTCCATTTTTTTTTTTTTTTTTTTTCATAGACCATACTCTAATCACTGAGAATAGTCCATGAGGTAGTGGGGTCTGACAACTCGTCGTCCTGACCTGGTGACCGTCTCTTGGTTCACTGGGCCACCCGGTGGTATGGCCGCCTCCGTCACTGTTGGTGTGGGTGTGTTTTGTGTAATTGCGCACTTGGTGCGATCGTGCCTGAGGTGGCGACGATTTCGTCTCAACACCCCTCCTGACTCTAACTCCACCTTATATGATCTATGGCTAACCTGCTGAACCACTTTCGCTGGTCTCCAGCCCTGGTGTGTGTCACAGGGCTGTACTCTCACACTGGCCCCTCCTTCCAGTGAGTCCATGTCTTTTGCTGTGCGGTTGTAGTACTTTTCCTGTCTCTGTCTGTTGTATTTCAGTCCCTGTTCGTTGTGTGTTACCTCAGGCTTCAGCAGAGTGTCCTTAGTGGGAAGCAGGGTCCTGGTCCTCCTGCTTAGAAGTCTCTGCGCCGGGCTTGTGTTGAGGCCCTGGCTCGGTGTGTTGCGATGATCCAGCATGGCCAAGTACGGATCCTGTCTCGCTGCTGCAGCCTTCAACATCAGGCGTTTGGCTGTTTTCACCGCTGACTCTGCCTTCCCATTACTCTGCGGGTATCCCGGCGACGATGTCCTATGTTCAAAGCCCCACTTCTGGCTGAAGTGCTGAAACTCTAGTGATGCATATTGGGGTCCGTTATCTGAGATAACAATGTCTGGGATCCCCTGTCGGGCAAAGTGGGCTTTGAGTTTTTTGATCACTGTGTTACTTTTCGTGTCGGGCAGAAAATCAACCTCCCAAAAATTTGAATAATAGTCTACTGTTATCAGATAGTCTTTATTGTGAAAGGAGAAAAGGTCTGTTCCTACCTTGGCCCAGGGTCTGCTTGCCATGTCATGTGGGTGTAGTGTCTCTCTTTGTTGCTTTGGGTCCACTGACCTACATATGTCGCATTTGGAGATGAAGTTCTTGATCTCATCATTCATTCCAAGCCAGTATACACATTCTCTCGCCCGTCTCAGACATCCTTCTACTCCCAGGTGAGAGGAGTGGATCCTGTGAGTGATGTCCACCCTGAGTGCGTCCGGTATCACGGCTCTGTCTCCTCGGAACACAATGCCATCCTGGAAGCTCAGTTCCTCTTGGAAGGTGTGGTAGTGTCTGATGTCACTTGGTAGGTCTTGTTTCCTCTTGGGCCACCCTAACAGTATTCTATTTGCCACACTCTGCAACTTTGTGTCATCTTTTGTTGCAGCCCTGATGGCACTCAGCCTCTCTGCTGAAATGGGTAGGTAGTTGACCATATTTACAGTCTCTATATCTGTCTCACTCTCTCCTCTGATGCTCTCTGGTAAGTATGCTCTACTCAGCGTGTCTGCGAGTAGCATATCCCTGCCTGGAACATAGGTTACTCTAATATCATACTGCTGCAGCCTGAGTAGCATTCTCTGTAGTCTCTTAGGTGCACTAAGTAAGGGCTTACTGTGTATATTCTCGAGAGGCTTGTGGTCGCTCTGTACTGTGACCTCTCTGCCATAAGTATACTGATGAAATTTTTCCATACCAAACACGATGGCTAAGCATTCTTTTTCTATTTGGGCATAACCTTTTTCAGTTGGTGTGAGTGCCCTACTGCCAAAAGCTACCGGTTTGCCTTTCTGTGTCAGGGCTGCCCCCAGTCCTGTGTCTGATGCATCACATTGAAGTGTCAACTCCTCTTCCTTGTTGTAGTACTGTAGTACTGGTGCTTGAGCGATTTTGTCTTTCAGCCTTTGAAATGCCCCTTCTTGGATATCTGTCCATTCCCACAAGTTCTCCTTGCGCGTGAGTTGTCTCAGAATTTCACAGTCATCTGAGAGGTGGTCATAGAACTTAGACAGATAGTTGACCATCCCAACCAGTCTTTGTACCCCTCTTACATCTGTTGGTCTTGGCATCTCTCTGATTGCCCGTACTTTCTCCGGGTCAATCCTCAGTCCCTCGGCCGTGAGCAGATGACCTATGTAGGGTACCTCTTTTTGTCTGAGCTTTAATTTGTCAACGTTCAGTTTGATGTTGCGCTCTCTGCACCTGCTTAGAAAGATTCTGACTTTCTCGTCATGGTCCTTGTCTGCCTCCTCTTGTGTTACCCCTTCCCCCGTGATTAACACATCATCTGCTATGATGAAGACTCCTGGGAGGCCCTCCAGGGCCTGCATGAGCTTTCTTTGGAAAACTTCCGGTGCTGGGCTGATTCCCATTGGCATCCTTAGCCAACGGAAGCGACCAAATGGGGTGGCGAATGTTGTGAGGTAACTCGACTGTTCTTCTAGTTTGACGTGCCAGAAGCCTTGCTTCACGTCACAGACTGTGAACACCTTTGCCTTTGACATCTCCGGCAGGATGTCATCTATAGTTGGGAGTGGATAATGACTTCTTTTTAGTGCCCGATTCAGAGGTTTTGGGTCTATACAGATCCTCATCTTCCCATTAGGTTTTCTCACTGCAACCATGCTACTGATCCAGTCAGTGCTGCGTTCCACCGGTGCGATTATTTGTCGTCTCTCTAGATCTTTGAGTTCCTCTTGTAGAGGTGTCATCATAGCTACTGGCACTCTGCGCTTTGGCAGTTTCACTGGTGGTACTCTGTCATCTATTTCTATTTTATATTCACCCTCCATGCAGCCATCTCCGGTGAACACATCCCCAAACTCTTCCTTTATTTTGTCCATGGTCACGTGTTCTCCTCTTGTCACTGGGTTCGGCTTTTTCATCACTATGCTGTCTATAGCCAAAATGTTCTCGTACTGTACTTTTATCAACTTCATTGCCTCACTGGCCTTTCTGCCCAGTAAAGGGATTCTGCTATTCTGGTTAACCACTTGAAACTCTAATCTGTATAGCTTGTTGTTTCTGGGGTTTCTGACTTTAACCTTACATGTACCCAGAGGAGTCAGCTTGGTCTTGTTATACATCACTAACACTTTCTTAGTGTGCTCTAACTGTATATCTGGGTTTAGTAGGTCGATAGGGATGATATTGCAGGTGGCCCCACAGTCTATCTGGAAATTAACTAACTGTTCACCTATCTTCATTCCTGCAAAGAGCTGCTGGCTCTGACTGTGGCTGTCTTTAACTTGGTTTACAGTTTCATCCTCTCTATTTACTTCAGTTATGCTGTTGACATCCTCATATGAGTCACTGTCACTAGTCTGTTCTGTAACTGTATGCACGTTCTTGGTTTTCCGACTGCTCTCTCGTCTCGATCTGCACTGAGCTGCAAAATGATTGTCCTTTCCACACTGTTTACACTTTTTCCCAAAAGCTGGGCATTTTTTCTTATTCCTCTCGTGTGTTCTACCACAGAACTTGCACAATATCTCATTGTGTCTTTTTGTTTCTTCCACTGCCTGTTTTACTGTATGTACTTCCTCCGCTATCTGTCCTTGTAGCGTTCTGCTATTTTCCTTAGACAGCTCCGTAGCTCTACAAATGTGCAGGCATGTATTTAGAGTCAGCTTCTCTTCCCTGAGTAATCTCTCCCTCAGCGCTGAGCTATTTGTACCACACACGAGTCGGTCTCTAATCAGTGAATCTCTAATGTCCCCAAAATTGCAGCTGCTAGCAAGCCTTCTTAGCTCAGTTACATAGCTGTCCACATTTTCATCCAAGCCTTGGTTTCTTGTGAAGAATCGGTATCTTTCCACCGTTTCGTTTACCGTGGGATTGCAGTACTCATCAAACTGTTTGATCATTGAACTCACTGTGGTCCTCGCTGAAGGGCTAGCAGTCGACAGAGTTGTCCAAAGTTCCCTGCCTTTTTCTCCGATGAGATAGGTGAATAGTTTCACTTTCGTGGTTTCTTCGGCGTCTGGCATGGTAAGGTCCACGTACAGCGTGAACTCCTCCTTCCAACTTTTCCATGACTTCGCCAAGTTGTTGTAGTCCAAAACGAGAGGTCCCGGGGGTTTTAGCCCTTCCATAGCTAGCTAAACTTTCACTTTCACTTTCACTTTCCTTGTTACTTAATTCTGACAACTTTCGACGTGCACACCGCTGCCACCATGTTTCATTATGTTCTGTCTCACTATAGACTATACATAATGGACGATTAAAGCAGTTTTGCTTACTTAAACTTTATTGGCGTGCCGACATCTACACTCTGCAGTAGCCACGTTATCCGAACATTCCCGTCTGCTGTGCAACCTCTAAATCCGTCCCCCGTGCAACAGTGCTTAATAAACAATCCTATTGTTACAACGATCACCTTAAAAGAATCAGGCTCTGCATCCTTTCCAAGAAAAAAAAAAAACTAAGGAAGGACATAAGAACTTTGTGTAGGTAGTAATTTATTCAATAACTTTTTTTCTGTTGTAAACACTGATATTAAGTTGGAAATGTAAAGCAAGACTTTATTTGTTATAAAAGATATTGATGACTGTAATTACTGTCATGGTTGGTTTAGAAATCAAACTCACATGCAGAACATCACTTGGAGACTGATAAAAAGTTCAACAGAGTTTATTAAAGGTTTGCACAGAGATAACATGAACTGGATTCTGGAAACTGGTCCGGGCAGGATTCTCAGGCGTCTGCAGAGACGGATAGTTTGATTAGCCAGGTTAACAGATTAGTTGTTGAGTTTTCAGATGTTTCTGAAAATACCTTAAAGAGGTCCAGGCTTTCTTTTCTGAGAGAGGGAACCGGTTTGGTCCAGAGACTGTTGGTTCAGCAGAGTGCTCAGCAGCAGCAGCGTCTAGCTTCTGACTTTCTAGTGACAGACCTTGGTTTGAGGGATTAGCTCTTTCCTTAAGAGCAGCAGGTGGATTACAGAGTGAGATCTTCAGGTTTTGCTCTCTAGGGCAGGCAGGCAGGTAACAGGTTAAGCTCATCCAGAGCTTCAGACGAGAGACAGGTTTCCTGTGAGCGAGAAGACAGAGGCAGGTTAGAATTGGGTTTCTCTTAGAGACAAAGATTCTAGTAGTTCAGAGGCTCAGGTTCGCTAACCAAACTTGGTCAACACTGCGGCGTTGAAGGAAGGTGTGGCTGCTGATTATATAGGCAGGTCTCCTGATGGGCTGATGAACGTCAGCTGTGCTGGAGGGCTCCAGCCCAGGGGATTCACAGCGCACTCTGCTGGAGAAGGTGGAGAACCTCCAGATCCCAACAATTACTTTAATAAAAACATATTCACTAGATTACTGTCAAGAAGTATTCATGAAAACAATACTTAAATAACCTTAAGAGCTCATCCCAGCTCAGACCTAAAATGCTATAATGAGACATGGAATTAAAAAGGGAGAAAAACAATTGAATAGAGATATTGATTAAATTATAGAGTTTACTGATAAAACGTTATATCATGTGTTTAAATATTAGAAAATTATTAAATGATCTGTGAGGATGTAATTTAATCATCTGGGATAGATTAAGGCTGAGCAAAATAAGGACAAGTCAGTAATGGGGCCTATAGGATAGGTGGTTAGGTATGTATGGATGGGTGTAATAATTTTATAGTTGAAGATTGTTAAACAAATAACAAAAACAGCTGAAGAGGAAAAAACAAAGATTAAAACAGATAACAACTCCTTCTTATGTTTTTTGACTTATTTCCTCTTCAGGCCAATGCCAGTGAATGCGACTCCCGTCCAGTTTTCTCTGAAAGTGCCTCGATATTTGCTTAATACTTCCAGAGAACATTATTCCTGATGCTCTCGTGTTTACACCGTTACGCCTCTACAATCTCACTTGCCCAGGCAAAAAAAGAATATTCCTCTTATTACCTTTTTACCAGTCATTTACAGGCTCATTTCCCCTGACAACAAGAAGTTTTTTTTAGTGACAAGTAAAGTAGAAAAGAGGTTTATTTGTACCGCACTTCCGACCTATTTTGAAAAAAAAAAAAAAGCTGCTTTTTAAAAAGCTGCATGCAATGTTGATGGAACACTCACCATTTCTGAGTATATTTAACTTCCTACTTTGCAGCTTCATGTTTTGAACCTCTTACAGATCCTTTGCAATGTTTTTTAGTGCATGCATACTTAATTGCTAATGGCTCTCCTCAACCCTAGATATTATAAATGGCATCCACTCTTGCCACAAAAGCTTGCACATCTATACAGCTTTATGTTTTTGTAAAGTGCAAAACAAAGCCGTTAACTAAGACATTACTGTAAAAGAAAATAATCAAAGGTTTGTCCAGTTTCTGTTGTTTTTTTTTAAATACAAGTTTATCCCTAAATGTTAGCTAAAAAACCAGTTTGAGCAGATTATGAGAAATAATAGTTAAAGCAAGAGGAGAAAAAGTCAATGATGTGAGGATTTAACATTGATATAGTTGAGATTAATTTGCTGCTTCATTAAAGTTATGTAAGTTATTATCAGTCAAAGAGCTCTCTTTCTTCTTTTATTTTTTAATGATTTTTTTTTTGATAAGAGCAGACTCAGGACACACACCAAGCAAAACGTGATGGCTATATAAATTGTTTAAATAGAGTCACATCTTAAACCTGCACCGTTTCTCTAAGGTTTTGCTTTGTATTTCTATTGAGATGCATTAATCAGCACTTCATATTAACACATTCAATCAAGTGACAGAAGACGCACAGGTGGAACTAATAACATTAGGGGCTGTTCATGCAATAAATCACTTCAGGGAGCCGTCATGCTAAATAACTCATTCACCCAGTTTTGTTATTAACTACTCCTGTGCTCTTCAAGATATAATATGGCTAAATGTCTGGAAAGAAGCATATTCTACATCAGTAGGACTGTTGCTATGTTTCATGAAAATGTACCAATATATTGGAAAGTGTGCCTATTTTTAACTGACAATCATTGCACCGTGCTTCATGCTTTTAAGTTTGCATTTTCACACATTTTAACAATCCAGTCAATTTGTAATTAATAAGAAGTAGCACAACATTAGCAAGTTCCCATTATGAATTGGTTGACTGTAACATAGGGGGTACTATTATTATTAACTAGTAAGTATTGCTCCATTGATATTAACATTGAAAAAATATGCAACTGATCCAAAGAAATCAGAACAGATTATAGTGTTGACATTAAATAGGAGGAACATGGCAGAAATGGGGGCAATGGAGCTGAGGCATAACCAGAACATTTTTACAAGGGTGGCCAGGCAATAACCAATGTACACGGAGGAGTGGTTGAAAGTGAATAGGCGCCAGGACCTCAGGGTCTACACTGTTCCAACAGGAAAATTAATGAGCACAACGTCCATATTTTCTAAATAAAGACAAATCTTTCTAGGTAAAAGATATAGTGGATACATTTCTTTCAAGTTTGAGTTCTGGGGTGAACATCTTTTCCATTGTCATTAGTTACTTTTATCAATAATCATTCTGCAAAAAAATTATATTTACAACTTCTAATATTTAAATAAATTGATTACTTAATACCTTTTTATTAAAATAGTTATCTATGATTTCCCTGAATACTCCTATATGACTTGCAGCGAGAAATCATTTTCTCTTTACCCCATATAACACAAAATGTAATACTGAAAAGAGCATGAATTCTGTGATAATCTTCTTTAATTTCAGTACATTGATGCAATAATTAACCATAGTGTTTTTGTCGTCAAGTAAATGTTAATATATGAAAAATAAAATGTTTTGAAAATTCAACTTGAGAGTATTACTGTCACCACTATCTGTATTAGAGGGGGAAAATGGTAAGGATGGCCACAGCGGTGGCCAATGATTGGCTAAGGGTGGGGCATGGCCACCTCTGGCACCCCATCTAGCTCCGCCCCCTGCTCTGGAGTCAACAATTCATCTCTATTTCATGTATTTTATATTTTAGATACTGAAGCAGGAGAGTCCAATCTGCACAGTGAATTAACCAGTGTGTAGATTGGACGCTCCTGGATCAGTGGCTGAGTGTATAAAATGCATGACATAGAGATGACTTGTTGACTCCATAGCCCCATCTCTGGGGTTTCAAAATCCATTTCCGTTAAGGAAAAAAGAATCACAACATCTCAGCATCAAAAATTTCCTCCGATTTTTAAGACATGCTTTGGTTTTGGAATCTAGACCAAGGCAATCTC